TTTCAAGCCCAGCCGAAGCCAGGATATCGTGGTATGCTGCATCTCTCAATTTGATAATCGTACACTCCCAAAATCCAACCNGTTGTCCAAACAAAGATTTGTGATTCCGTGAGAGTAGGAGATACCACCGCTACCAAAGGGTCGAAGGCACTGTCTGCCAGATGTAGGCTGTGAGATAGATGGAGCCACCTATGTGTTCTTAGCCTGTGTGGGTGTGTGTGTGGGTCCTACCATAGAGGGTTGATAGCCCCCTCCTAAACAAACAGGTTGATTGGCCACATGCAAAAATGACAAGCTTATGGATGCTGGATGCGTAGGTTTGAGGTCGTCTCCCGCGCAATAGTTTTGGAGAAAAACTAATGGTTTCCAATAAGTGCATACCATCTGGCTCCAACGCAATGAATGGTTGAATTACGGCGAAGGTGAGGTTCCTCAGAATGGCTGTCACGACCACATTTTATGAAGTCACGTTGCAACAGCGCTAAAACCAGTTCCCCTGGCGAGTAGGAGCTCCGTGGTCACACAGAAGGGCTTCTCCCCTTGAATACCCTGCCCAGCCTTCGAATATAAACGCGATTAGAGTGCCCCTCAATGCGTACACACCAACTGCAGTAGCGCTTTCCACAATCAGGAACGGAAGGGAGAAAATAACTTCCTTCGCAAGAACAGAGAGGGATCGGGGGGTGTTTATGTAGTACTGATCCGACACGGCCACCTCGCGTTTCCTGCTGAATTGAGGAAGTTCATGGAAAACTTCTGAACTGGGTAACCGCTAGAGTTATCACCGCAACAAGGAAAGGGAGCATAAATAGCGTATCGTTGCTGATGCCTGTGTTACTGTTCACCCTGCATCAAAAACCTTCCAGCATGTCATGTGCGACAATGCTTTCTTTGCCGAGTGAGCGTAACAACATGCATTGCTAAATGTGCCGGCCCAGGTGTGTTTGAACTCCGGTGAACACCTGTGCGCGAGGCAAGAGCGGATGTGTGGTTAGTTCGAGCGACATCATATGAGCAGCACGGAGCCTGTGTGAATATTGGATGTTACGAACAGAGGCCGCTTAATTTCTAGTCTACGCCCCAAAGTACAATGTCCAAACTCTTCTGGCGTCGTGTTTCCAAGCCATCAGCCACACCGTGTGCTTTTGACGCATCGCCATCACTCACTTTGAACACGAATGACAGCACAAGTAACCAGACCTCGAGTAGCTTCAATCAGCGCAGGATGGTGTGTGTGAGTGGCGGACTCGTGCTCGCAAGTGGGATCGTACTGTTGTCGGTAGACGCACAGTTCTCGAGAGCGAGTCGTACCATCGCTGCTAAGGAACAAGGCAAGAACTGTGACGCCACCAACACTAACACGCGAATAAATGGACTACTTCTCACTTGGTTCGCGCTTTTCGTCACGGCAACAGGCTGGTCTTGCCGAAAAATGATTTTCGTGCTCCATGGAACACCGTGAAAAATACCATACCTCTACAAGGCGGCCTTGCCCAAAGGTCTCACGACAAAGTTGATAGAGCACGGAGACGCGGAATCCCCACTACAAATCAAAGGTGTGTGGATGCAACTCAAATTGGGTGCCCCGTTATCGTAGTCTCGGCAGAGAATAAGCGAACACCTTCATGTACTCGCCCCCTCCTCCTCTGTTGCAGAAACACAAAAACGCAGATTTATTCCCCGGGTGGGTGCATCCAATCATCCAACAATCGCCGTTGTGAGATTTTCTCAACCAGGCGACGCCAGCAGCGATAAAAGGCCGCGCGCGGTCTACAGAAGGTACTCCGTGGCGAGCAGTTCCTCCTCGCCCGTTGCCGGGTCCATCACCCGTAGCCGCCCGTCCGGCGCGACTCCGACCGGCCTCACCGCCCGCCCCTCGTCCCTGATCTCCAGCGGCAGCGACCAGTCCACCCACCGGGACCACTCGGCCACGGCGGTGGACGCCGAGTCCGTCCCGGAGGCCCAGGAGCATAGCTTTTCGGTCAGCGCCGCGGACAGCTCTCTCACCGCCTTTTTTTGGACGGGTGAGTGTGGGTGGGGGGGGAGAGGCTGTTGCTGTCCCTTGTGCAAAGGAATGGCATGTTGGCGAACAAAGAACAAAGTCGGACCCGAGCAGCTGTTGAACGGAAAGCACGAGAGCACCCGCGTTTGAGGGGGAGTCACGGTTGTCGTCAGGAAAAGAACGCGCACGAGGGACGCTTCGTTGAGCATTGGGAGGGAGGTCAGCCGCTAAACGCGAACTTTGGCTTGGTAAAAACGACGTGTCTGTCTCGCTCGCTGCATGTACCGCTATTAGAAAACCAACGACACAAAACACCGGTCCGTTCATCAACCCTCGTCCCCAACGGCACCCACCTCATCGGTGCTGTCCGCCCCGAAATCGGCAAGGCAAGTAGCGGGCCTACCACGGTCGGGACCATTCTGAGGCACCTCCGGCTTGTTTCTGACGTTGACGCCGATTCCGACGAGCAGAAAGGGTAGCTCCGCCTCGATCAGCACTCCGGCGACCTTGGAGCCGCCGAGAAGTACGTCGTTCGGCCACTTGAGCGACACCCGAGGCGGTTCCGGTTCCGGTTCCGGTTCCGGTTCCGGTTCCGGTTCCGGTTCCGGTTCCGGTTCGGGTTCCGCCGCCTCCGCCGTCCTCGCTTCTTGGGGAGACGCGGATGGAGATGGAGGTGGATAAAGCGGGGGCCGCTCTTCTTGGCGATGCCTTGGAAGTCGCCGTTGTATCTCTGCGTCAGGAGGAGGGGGTGGCAGCATCGGGGAGGATCGAACTCAAACAAGGCCGAGGAAAGGTGGAGCTGGGAAGGAGTCGTCACGAAAGTGCGCTAGGGGGGAGAGACGGGACGACGTTACTCGAGGTGATATTCTTCTCTCGAGATCCGGTGCGGTCGAACGGGATCAGGGAGAGTGGCGCTTTCGGGAATGCGCCTGATGGTCGCCAGCCGGTGGGCGATGAAATGATTACAATGGTGAATGGGTGGTGGTCAATGCTCGAGAACGGTGTGCGAAGACGAGCAAGTAATCGGGACAGACGAAGAAGCATCATCCCAGACAGACCTTTGACAACCGCGAGCGAATCCAAAGGCATCATCCCCAAGTCTCACAAGCCAAGCACTCTACTGTAACCTACACAACGGTTACATGGTCAACTCTCGGGGTGCTGCTTGCAGGGGTATATTTTGCACGCGATGGGTTTTACAGCAAAGCACTTCCCGTTCTCTCTACGTCTCTCGAAGTATCTTCCATGCCCACCTGGCGCTATTAGTGTGCCGACCCTAAGAGGAATGAGGCTCAGCGGTACAGGGACCCTGTCTAGCGGAATGGCCACAGTGAGGAACACGTTTCCAGGGAGGCCTATCCAAGCCCGACCCTTCGTCCCTCTCCCGCGAAGCTGTTCTCTCGCCGCCACAGCAAACACGCGTTTCGCGTCGCTTCCCTGACAACCACACGGCACGGTTGGCGGGGTTGCGCCGTGTGATAAAGAATCGTCAAGCCCATGACTGCTGGCTTTGCGCGGCGACTACGATACTAAACGGAGCATGATTCCTCGTTACGATATTAAACAGAGCATGATATCTCGTTTGGTGAACATCCAGAAGGGTGGGATGCGCACTCGGAACGGATGTACGTATGCACGACATGCGGCGTGTTTGTGCATCGGCCAAGCATCACACCTCCAAAAGGATAACAGACAAGGTCATGACACAACATTTGCAAGCGGGGAACCTTCGATTCCTACGAGCACCGGTCGCCCCGGTGGTCTACTGGAATCCTCGTAATCCGCTAGTCGCAGAGGTCGTGAGTTCGAATCCCCATGGGGTGAAAAATTTACGAAACGTGCGGGTGAAAGCGAAATATAGCTCACAAGCTCTCGTGAGTACCAAACTTCGACGTCAGCACCGTTGACGAAGGAAAGGGACGGCTGGACCCTTCTCGCGATAAAAATAAAATTCAGCACGCACCGCAGGAGGAAGGTGGGGAATAAAAATAAATAAAAAGAACAACCAAGCTCTGGTGTCTACCCCCTCCTGTGTGACCCTGGATGGTTGTAGTTGTACGAAAAAATACACTGAAAAGTGTAGTACTCTACATACCCTGAAAAGTGTAGTACACGTCTCACCACGAAAAATGGGGGGACTGTCGCCATCATAAACAGGACGAAAACACACCAACACACACGAGCCGTGCTTTTGGTCTTCAGATACGTCCTCCCTCCGGAAATACCTCTTGGTTGATGATGAGGGTTTTGACCTCGTCCATGGTGGAGTTGACGGACTCCAGCCACGTGAACCTCGATATCATGCCCCCGCCCCCGCCGCCCCCGCACCTCATTTCGGTCGTATCTGCTGACCCCGTGTCAGCAGACGAAGATGAAGGGCCTGCACCCCAAACATTTTACAGTGCGAGGTTCCAACAAATTGTCAAGGAGGGGATATCAAGTGTTTGCTCCCTTGCACGTTGGAAGAAGTACCTACGACCGTTCGAGACCGAGCACGGCACATTTGTCGCTTGCGATGACTGAAACGCTTTGTTTTGCTTGTTGGACGAGGGGAGCCAACTTGACCAGACCGCTGTGAGCCCATACGTGATTATGCAGAAAAAAAAACACACACACGTTGGGTGACAGGCAACGCCTTAGGTACATACTGCTTCAGCGGTGCTGTGTAATGCGTTGCTGGAGGCAGGGCTGTACGGTGAGGACATTTCTGCGGGGCCGGACCGCAAGCGCTTACCTGGAGTCCGGATATTTGCGCTCGGTGCCAGAAATATCTCTGTCCTGCTGGGCTTGGCAACGTTGAACCGAAGGGGGGTTGTTCGCACCAACGGCCTGGCAACGGTTGGGCGAAAAGGCGTGACCAGGAGCAGGGCGCTTAGTGGGTAAAATTTTGAACCGTTCTGGCAAGTGTTGCTGGTACCGGTACAACGCAAGTCTATCAGCCATTTTTTGCTGCTCATGTCTGGAACGAAGTGCAACACGCGTCTATTTTCATTTTGCGTTGACGTGGATAATCTTGGCGCGGGGAGAGCTGGGGCGAGTTTGGTGTTCTTCGTCGTCGAGACTAGGAAATCTCCGAGTGTATGCTCCCCTTATGTAGAGCATGGGAACCATCTGTCGACGATGAACAGGAGCAACGTGACTACAATACAGCTGCCGTTACTTGATTAGATAAGAGAGAAGCTGGCCCCCAAAAACAATATGATAACAACGAGTACCGACACTCAGCAGGCTGATTCGATCCTGCTTGTGGACGACGATTGCATCTACTGCGTGCCGACTCTTTTTCACGAATCAATCGATTAACATTGACCTTCGCAACACGCACGCTCATCAAGCGGCACAAAGTCAACCGTCATCCACAGTCTCAATCACAATCAAGGTACTCAGCCCTTCCCTCTCACAGCACACCTGCAACGAGCGCGTTCAGCCGCAACGACGGATCCTTCCGCGCCTGCAGCAGCACTCCCTGCCAGTGTTGCCTCGGGTGTGGTGGCGAGAGAAACAGCGGGGTCGACGGAAGAAACAACGAACAGTGCACTTGTGCCAGCACGCGGAGCGACCGCAGGGGCCAGCGAAGACAGAGCTCCCCGTGCCCCGCCGCCGCCGCCACCACCACCAGCTACGCTCCTTTTGTTCCAGCCGTCACCGCAACTTTTGCCAACGCTCCCGTTCAACCGCTCGCTACTGCCGCGGCGGCTGCTGAGTTGCCACTTCCGACCGCTACCGCTCGGTGTGAAGCTCCGGAGGCTTCTTCTGCTTGCTACTGCCAACGAAGCCCCCGCGGAACCAAGTACAGCTACCGATGATCCTCTTGCTGTTGGTGTGAGCGATGCTGCCTTCATATGCATACCATGCCGTGCTGGCCCGTCCTTGGTTTCTTCCAAACTCGTGACCTGAGCGCGTTTCTGGTTCGCTCTTGAGCGGTCTTGCGAGGGCAACGCAAGGTCGTCGGCAGCCAAGATAGACAGGCACTGGACGACTAGGTAGAGGGAGATGCTGAGGGTGAGTCTCACGAGCAAAGCGAGTCGGCACCAGGCCATGCAGACATGGACTCGCCGCCTACCTCTAGCTCGGCACTCGGCATGCACTCCTCAAAACAGCGGTTCTCAGTTGGTTCTCGCCACGTCCCGAACCGGCACGCGACAGCACCCAACAACACCCCAGCTCCCGTGGACAGAGAGAACGGAGTGCCAACGAGGGCAGAAGTGAGTCGATCGCTGCTGGAAGGGGTTGGAGGGCGTCCACGTGTCGAATCAACCGCTCTGGCAGTCTAGGTGAGTAGCAGCCAGTAGCACTACTGGCCCTGCACAGGCTTGAGGGCAAACCTCAGAGCGGGATGGAACGAAGGAACCCTCCCGCTGCCGTTGTCAGTTGAAAACACGCGCAGCAACCCAAAATAAAGTCAATGTCCCCCGCGTGAGCGTGTGAGCGTATGACGGCGAGCATGTCTTGTGCGTGCTAGTTGCAATCACCTCAGCATGAACCCCCTGCGCCCGTGCACGACCCGCAGCTTGAGTGTTCGTCTCGATGGCGGTCTCTCGTTCGTCCAACAGTCTCGTCTCCACTACTGTCAATAGTATGCACACCAAACAGTAATAGCCTGTCCACCACACCGTTCCCCTTGCTGCGGTCACAACTTGCAGCGCTTCTAGCCGGGGGGTGCCCTCGTCGTGCATATGGTAATTTCGGGGGTTCTCTCTTTGCTCACTCGAGGTGCGCTTGGCCCATGGACGCTGCTGTCGTCGGCCGGTGGTCGTGGAATATGCCGCACGACCCCCAGAAAACAGCAACAGCTCAACACAATTAGAATGGATATATGTCAGTCTACAGTAGAGTACCTTGAAAGTTTAAGTTTCTCGGTTTTGATACCCACGCAGTTGTGAGAACCTACGAAGTAACTTCTATCGTGATTGCCACTCGATTCATGCATACCTGCCATCTGTCCCCACACCTGGAGCGAATGGCAGCTAAGGATACACCATTGTGCACTAAAGACCTGTACTAGATAGGGCGGGGTAATGAGCCGCGGGGTAGCCGACTCAATACCTTGCAGTAGTCTCTCTGTGACGCTTTTTGCGGTGGCGAGTGCACCCGGCCGTTGAATATTGAACTCCAAGTCATCATCAACAACAACGACATAAAAATAGGCTCTTCCTCTGCAACGCACGGACGGCCCTTGGGATTCGTACGCATACAGCAGTGGTCTTTCCGTAGATGACACAAGATGCCACACCCTGGACCAACTTCCAAAGCTCGGTTGCTCCACACCACAAAGAGTGGCGGTGCTGAAAATGCTGGTGTGTGAACTGTATCGCCAGGAGCTTTCCGATAACGTCTCGCTGGGTTTACGCATCCTGTTGGCCGTGGAATAATCTAGCTTAATTGTATCGATACACGGGGGGTGTGGTATCTTACGTCACCGACGGTACAGCAGTAGACCGGTGTGCCATATGCATATACATACGTGCGTTCTGTATCGGAGGTGACCCCTCCCCGCACACCGAAGCAACAGAAATAACAAATGTATCCGCCACGAGCCGTGTCCATGCTCCGTGTTGTGTGGTGATTGATGCAGACCAGGAGGATCAAGGACGCTCAGAACTCGCGAGCGCGAGAGTGTGGGACAGCCCGAAAAAAAACGCCGCGTCTGCTGGGATCAGTCGTATGTGTTTTTCCGTCTGGCCAAGGTTGGGTTTTACTGATGACCCCTGTCCATACACCTAAGCAACAGCAATGACAATGGCATCCGTCACTAGCTCTGTGTATGGCCCCCTTCCCCCGCCAGTGCTGTCTTGCCAATCGGTGTTGCGTGTTTCGCTGAGTGCTTCCTCTGTTTCTCCCGGTGTGAACCAACCAACCGCGTGTGTCTGTTGGGTGGGATATCTAAGATGCCTTAGCTGGCATTTTCTCTACAACTTCACGGGGATCGGGGTGAAAATCTCCTATGGTTTTTGGATAGATGCCGGTGACGCACGGCCATCTGTTGTGGTGAAGCGCTCCCTATTTTCGTGCTCCTCACAAGCCAGCAGATCGTCAATCGGTGCTCTTTGGACCTCGTGCTGGTTGAAAAGGGTGAAAATTTCAGGCGGTCGTTTTTTTAAACTTGGGCCCCTGGTAGATAGAGCCTGTTTTTTCCCTCCTCAGACGGAGGGAAAAGAACGGTCGCGCTTCGCGCTCAGCGGCGCATTACAATTTTCGTAGATTCGCAGGCCCGCATCCGTTGGCAACACCTACGCAAGTGCTTGTTTTTTCTTTGATCTGTAGACACATTCGCCCCCCCCCTGCCCTACGATGGCACCACGTTGTATTAAATGGTCAAGCACCCTCGAGGCAGTTATAGACAATGCTTCAACCTGTCTCTGAAAGTGGAAGCACCAGAAAATATATCAGGTCATTCGCAGCTTGCTGCCATTCGTTGCAAGCAAGCACAAGATGCCGAACACCCTTAGCAGGATGCAACGCACCCTCCATGCGACTCGCCGAATACCTCACGGCGCTTCGCGCTTGGTGCTGTGAGAGCCTGGTCCGGTGAGAACCCTCGGGCTCCGTCCCGACTTTCTTTGTAGGGATGCGAGGTCATTGGTCTAGCGACTACGGCATGCACAACTATGGACCCCGCTCCCCCCTGCTGTTTTCTCGTGTGTAGAGGTCTCCGGGTGTGGCGACAAGTCGCCACGATGAAGCCCGTTGGGAACGGCGAGGGGGAGGAGGAGGAGGAGGAGGAAGATGGGGAAATCCAAGAGAGCGAAATCCCTACCAACAGCAACGGCCAAGCAGCTACCCCCGGGAGCACTGCCGGAGAGGCGCTCCCGCATCAAGGCCTCCAGCAGATCGAGCAGGCGAGGAGCTTAGTCGAAGCTGCTCCTGGGGACGGCGGCGGCGTCGATAGGGTAAGTGTGGGTGTACCACAGACTACATGCGAGGTGCTCGTTTTATCTGCCTGTTTCGCGTTCTCGTGCTTTGGCCATGAGCACCGGAAACCTACAGCTTGATAATATCCTTCACGTATAATGGATGAAGACTCAGCGACAATCGATGGACGCCGTTGTAATGCCATGAATGGAACTCCGTACCCCCTCGTCCGTCTCCGAACAGGTCAAGAAGCTCCTTGTGCAGTCGAAGGCGGCGTATCTTCAGGCAGCCAGCGCGCTGGCAGCAGCTGGAGAAGAGAACACGGACGTGTCCGCCATCTCCCAGGGAGCGCCTCAGGCGGCCCTCATCTGCGTGGCCTCAGAGGCGGTCTTCCCCAAAGCGATAGCGCTAGTCAGGTATACCATGGTACGCTGTACCCGTAGCGATGCTGCTGTATGTGGTCTTTAGTGCTAGTAGTCAGGTATTGTCTTTACCTGTAGCGATGCTGCTTTCTATCGTGTTTGTTCACTGTTGGATAGTCGGAACGGAAGGGGACACCGGAGCCGAGTCGAAGTTATTGTTGCTATGGTATAGTAATTCGATTGCCACCGGTCGGTTTGCCCGTCAAATAGGAACCGCTGGTTCTCCGCCGCTGCTGCTGCCGAGAATGCTGGCGTTGACTTACTGTTGCCGACATCGACTGGAAACAGCTGCAGCATGTTTAGACGCTACAAAATGGGTGCGGTTTCCTTGAGCACACGCAAGTCTTGCTCTGTGTCACTCTTTGCGCCTCTTTGTTATCTCGCCGTTTGTCGCAGGTGCTCTCTGGACTGTTTCTAATACTCTTGTCCTTGGTGACGTTGTGATGCGCCGCAGGTGGTTCTGCTCGAAGCATGTCGCCAGCCTGTGCGAGGTGTCCCAGGCCATGGAGATCGAGGCGAAGCGGTTAGAAAAGCAGAGCAAGAGCAAGAGCAAGAGCAAGAGCAGAAACAGAAGCAACAAAAGCAGCAGCGGCGTCGCTGCCGGCAGCGGGGGACAAGCCCAGGACGAAGGCTCGGGCACACGCGCCGAGAGGGCCACTCGGCTGCTGCGTGTCCTGATTAGCTCCTTCAACGCTTTCCTCGAGCAGTCTTCTCCGGGGAGCGGGATGTTCAGCACCGCGTGAGCACAGCAGAGTAGCTTTTTCTTGGTGCCGTTTCCGATGCATATATATTTGCATGTGTTTTTTTTTTGTCTTACCATCTACAGCACAACTTATGCCGCGTGTGGTTCATGCGTCATTGTGTAGACTGTTTGCGACGGTACTACGGTGGGGCTCCCTGTTTATGGCCGCTTATTTACGGCCGGTTGCCCTATTTAAGGCCAGTGAAAGCGGTTGGCACAAATGGAATATTCAAGTTGGCTCATACTCTGAACAAGGCCGCGGTCCCTGTTGAAGGCCGGTGTTTTGTCGAGGCACATGGTGGCCCGTAAACAGGGACATCTGCTGTACAGAGAAGACAGTCGCCTGTACTCTCCTGCACTCCGGAGCTTGTATCAAACAAGCACGACCAACCCGCGCGCCCCTATCGACGTTATCTGGCTTGATCGAAGCTTTCGGTCCCAGCGGTCGCACGAACTGCTCGTTGAACACAAGCCTTGCCGGCGATGATCGTGGGGGCGCATGATGATAAAGACAGGAATTTCGGGGGGAGGGGGTGCTCCGCGATTGAGTAGTTGCGGAATGAACCCACTGGAACAGGGTTTTTCGCCTCTTGTACACAACACAACCATGGACCGTACCCCTTTCAGCAGCAACAAGCTGGAACACCTTGGGTGTTGTTGGCGCTGGAGTACATGTTTTTAATCCTATCCGGAAACGCCCCTTGTTAACAGAGCATATTGGTGAACGTCCACACCCCAGAGCTCTCTCTCTCTCTCGACATTGCCGATAATGGTTTCGAAAAGCCCGGTATTAAGGTTCGGGTGCAACGAGCAAGACGCACGCCACAGCCCTAATCCTAACCCTGACAGCAACAACAATAACAACAACATCAACATCAACCACAACAACAACAACAACAGCAACAACAACAACAACAACGGCAAAACGCATCTAGGTTGTCCCGCTGCGTCTTTGTTCGCGCTTGTTTGCGGCTTTTCACGCGGTCCCGCAGAGCCGTTGACTCTCGCGCTATATGCAAGATGTACCTGTACCTGGATAACTCAGCCATACGCCCTTCGTCCGCTTCCGTCGTCGTTTTTTTTGTTTCCCTTTTTTCCGTCACACCCCTGCCATGATGCCGATAGCGCGCACGTCCGTGTGCTTGACATAGCCGTGAGCCTGGCGAGGAAGGCGATCGAGAGGCTCAGCCGAGAGTGCTCCGCCGACCCATCGGTGGGCAAGGCGGCGGCCAGGCTGAGGGGGCTCACGGCGGCCGCCTGCTTCGCGTCCGTGTCTCCTGCCCTCGACGGCGGTGGCGAAGCCGACGAAAAATCGGTGGGTTCTTGCGTCCTGTTGTACCGGCTGCTTAGCCCCTTGCTCCGTTTTTGGATTTCGATGTTTTAGGGCCGTACGGTTGCCGCTGCCGCTGCCGCTGCCGCCGGCAATAGTTGTGGGTTGGTAGCCTGCAATGGTGCCCTGCCATCGTTCGCAGTCTATTTATTTTTCCTGCGCGAAGGACAGGGACTTTTCATGATGGCGAAGGCGATGTTCGCTACGACGCTGCCGAGCGGTGCATACTTTGATGTTCCTCTTCTTCGACGCTATGTCGTTCGTTAGTCGAGAGGTATTCGTTCGAATGGGTCGTAACATATGTGTTTTTGACTGACTACGGGATGCACCCCCGTGGGAGCGGTACATTCGACCCCCCTGTAAGGATACCCGTGCTTTTTTTTTTTGAAAATGTCCTTAACGCGGGGAAGTGTCCCTAAGACCGGAACCTCCCCTTGTATATTGCATGTCCGTGGGGCACTCAGCTTGTGAGATTTGGTTTTGTCCATTAACGGGGATTTGACTTAACAATGAGTGTATAGAAAAGCTATTGCGGGGTTCGGTGAAAAAACTTGCCGGCTGGTCCTGCTTCACACGCTGTCCGCTCTGCTTTTCGACTTCGTCCTTCGATCCCAAACCACCCGAGGTGGGATTGATGAACTTATCGCATATTAGATGCTTGCCTACGTAGTTACAATGTTTCCGCTTGGACTATTCCGTTCTGATCGCAAACCCGAACCCGGAGAAAGTTGGAGAGAGAGACGTTGCAACAATAATCAGTCCAGGATTTGACAACAAGATACATTCACAACTTAATTCCTAACACAAAAAGAGTGTGAGACAACGAGGAAGAAAGGAGGAGGAGCCGTTCTTCCACCAATGAACATACCTGTTACGACGAGTACTTGGCCTAACGTGGCGTATACTGGCGGTGGTTCGCGTGTTGCTTTCGCCATCTGTATCGTTACGACGACAACAGCAAACCAAAGAACAAGTGCCGGCGGCGCCGAACTCAGACAACCTTGACAGGATGGGGAAGAAGGACGTGGACAAGCTCTTGGTGTGCATCTCGGGGGGCGAGGGCAAGAAAGACGAGGCGTACCTGTCTCCGCCCTGCATCTGCGTCGAGGCGATAGGGGCCCTTCGAAGGCAAGAGAAGAGTGTGTGGGTGTGGGAAGGGGGAAGGGTGGAATTACTTCGATGTAGACGTTTGTCCTCGTGAGTAACACTTTTCTTTTTTGTCTTGACACTCCGCACTTCTGCGGATCCCGTCGCTTCTCTCGCTCTCTCTCTCTCTCTCTCTCTCTCTCTCTCTCTCTCTCTCTCTCTCTCTCTCTCTCTC